GGCAAGACACAGCTGATTTACTAATAGAACATCTATATGGATTCAGATCATAGTTATTTGTGGTTTGCCTCTGCATATTTTACATGAAGACCTGGTGTGTTTGAGCCAGTGTAATTACTGGGTGTCCCCCTGCCCCCTGTATGGTGGTTGGGAGAACCTCTTGGTCAATTGCTCATGTTTTGAACCTTGCAGGGATGCCATCTGCTCTGATGACCTTTATGAGTGTCGGCCACCCAGAGGGGAAGCCCCGTCTGTGTAACAGACACACAGAGGGGGAAATATTATCTCACTGCTTCCTCACTCACTCTGCTATCAAATATGGCTTAAAATAAACCCTGAAAATTTACAGAAGACTTGGAAAAGACTCCAATGTTGCGAGTGGGAAAAATTAAACCTTAGGGTTTTTTTCCCCTCCCCCCATGACATACTTGTTCCTTAATTTCTTGCAGCTTGTTGCTCTGTTCTCTTATGTCGTGCAGCAGCTGCATGGCCTTATCGTCCTCTCTGGAGACCTCGACGCGTGCCTCCTCCAAGCTCCGCTTCAGGCTCTGCAGACACATGCATGCAAACACAAGGTCCAATCAACACGGTCGGTGGTGTAAAAGCTGCACAGATGTCTGAATGAGCAATCACCCCTTTAACAACGGCACATTCAAACATTCTCCGGCAGCCTACCAACACATCTGAATGAGCTGGTAGTATGACTCACACTGCACTCAGTAATGTAGGTGGCGAGGTCTTGCTCCAGGATGCTTCTCTGCGTCTCGGACGCCTTCAGCTCCACATCCTTCTGGTGGAGCACTGACTCCAGGTCAGTCATTTTACGCTGGAACCTGGAGATTTCTTGCTCCATCTTAACGCAAAGAAGACACATTATATTCCACGCCTTCAAGCGAAGGTTAAAAATTTAAGGCAATAAAGAAAGAAAGAAACCGTGGTTTTATGCTCAGACTGTGAAATGTGACCATACGCTGCATGAAAATGACAAAAATGAGCAGCAATATGTTCCGTGTGCCAACTCGCACTTGGCCAGTAAAGCTTACTCTGATTCAGATTATGAGCGATTTCTCTGACCCATCGCACCACCGTCAATGCCGCAAATTACAAAGATGTGATGTTGTACAAACAAAAAGATTATCTTGGCTTATTGAAGCACAAACAGAAGCTTCTCTGATCTGTGTTAAGCCAGTCTGCCAGAATAAACACGACGAGTCTGGTAATAAAACCCACATTGTTGGGTCGATTTTGTTCAAAATCCAAAACGTGCAAACAGAATTTTACAGTTTCCAATAAGGAATTAGTCGCTTTGGTTTGCATGAAATTTCTTTTCAGAGGATGCTTACAACAGAGTTTTGGAAAGAAAGCTTTATTTAACAAATCTCTGTTGAGAATGAATGCTTTAGTGACAATGAACTGTGATGAAATATAAAAACGTGGCTTTGCTCTCCTACCTTATGGCATTTGTCTTGAGTTTCCTGTAATTCTTTGCTTTTCAGATGAAGCTTCTTTTCCATGGAGTTGGTCTTAGCAGGTGAGTTGAGGCCTGCAGACACTGACCTGAAATAACAGCATGTCAAGAGAGTCCTTAGTGGACTGAAGAAAAACACAGGTCCTTCAAACTAACTGCAAAACACACTGCAATAGTAGCAAGATACATCGGTATTGCCCGATTTTAGTCTTTTCTGAGCATATCAGGATCGGCCCAATAGATAAACATGGACGGATAATGATAACAAAATAAATTGAGGGGTGGCAGTGGCTCGGGAGGTAGGGCTTCATCCTGTAACCTGTAAGACTGATCTTCAAATTTTGTCAAGTATGCTTGTTCTACATTTAAATTTGGTTTACAACCTACAGTATATATACATTTGTGTAATGGCAAAGCAAAACACAAAACCTAAAAATGCATCTTAAATTAATTAAAGTACAGGTCAAGTCTAGTAAATGTGATTCAGCCCAAGTCACGTAAGGCTGGCAGCCAATCTTCGATTCTGTCCAGAAATTATTGCACCATCATTATTAAAGCTCCCTTAAGAGCAAGGACACACACACATTATGACAGGAAGACTTTATAATGCTGTAATAAAAATTATAATGCAGACACAAAACCCACCATCGAAAATAAACATCAAGGTTTGCCTTGAATCAGTTCTTTCTATTTAGAGGCACATCGAGTCCAACAATAACACTCCTGCCAACAGTTTGGGTGAGATGAATGAAAGCCTTTGAGAGGAGAGAATATCATCTATTTTCTATTCAATATGGTTTATTCAGTACAAAAACAAACTGCAAGGAAGAAAAATAAAGAGAGATGCAGGCATGGAAATATTTCCTCTTTTTCTGACTAAATAATGTGACAGAGAATTTTGATTGTGTTGTTGTTTATCATGGGTCTACCCATCTTTAACTGCACAGTGAGTTTAACATTTCTTATCTTTTCTGACTTGTTTCCTTTGGAGCATTAAGAGCACGCAGTTGATGCGGTTTAATCTGCTGTGCCGGAGACAAAACGGCTTCTGGAATAAATGAACAAGCCTTTATGAATGAGTTTACAAACACAGCAAAAGGATCTTTAACAAAGTTGACTCAGTCTGAGTCACCGTGTTAAAAATAACACCACAAAAGCAATCCCTGCTCTCTGTGCTTGCTGCAGTGAGGAGAGATCCCCTTGAAACATATCAATACACGGAGCATACACTACATAATATAAAGCAGAATCCCCCACCCACCCACTCACATTGAGCTGTGCTATATAAAGACTGAAACGCCACATCAGTCATTTATTTCACGGGAATCCTGATTAAAACTGAAAGCGAACAAGCAGCCAACATAATTATGTTAGGAATTCACTTATCTCACTGCTGTTTAGTTGAATAGTTAAAAGAGGCTGTGTGGAGAAAACACTGTAGTGATTAAAAAGCTATCCAGTTGAGGTTTTCAGGGTTGAGGCCTACTGTTTTTCCTATCCATCTTTCACACAAGTGACAAAAGGAAGACGGATATCATTCCTGCACATTGAAAATGAGTACGAGTACAAACCCTCTGCGGCTCTATCATGTTGTAGGAAGAAGAGAAAATAAAAAAAAAAATAAAAAATGTAAAGGAGAGAAAATACTAGAGCCCTCTGTAAAGAACATGGTGGTTGTCATTTCTTTGAACTATGGCTGAAAAATAAATGAGGACTCAGTGCAGACCGCATTACTGAGGGGAATCGATAAAAGACAGGAACAGGAGGAAGGCATGTATGTTTAAGGCTTATTAGCATTGATCCGGTGTATACACGGAATATATTTATGACGCAAGAGAAATATGAATATGAAGAAAAGCCACGTCAAGGCACAAGGTTCTAACAGCAGCTAGAAATCAGGATCAACAAAGCAATAGAAAGATTGTGTCTTGGAAATCAGTTTTATGCAAATTTCTGATCATTTGGGGGGGGGGGTTCAAAGCAAAACAGTCTAAACAACACCTATCCATTAAAAACATGCATCATCTGGTGGCAAAAATCAGTCATATTTTACCAATATTACCATATTTATGAACATGAGGAACAACTTAGGATTGCTTCGTTTAAATTAAACTCTCATTTTATACTTTCAAAATTGTTACTTCTAAATGTCTATATAATAAAAGAGCATTTCTTACAGAAAATTGTGAATTAATGAGTGAAATGCATAAGATCTCCAAACCAAGGATCAGGACTGATCTGGCAAACAATATCAAGGTATACTAAGGTTTTATGGTTAAAATCCACAACAATTAGAGGTTTTTCTGGCTGCATGAAGTACACAGTATTGAAGTTAAGCCCCTCCTTCACTTGTTGCTGCACATTGCCTATCTGCCGACTGAATAATATCGCCAATAGGCTTTTAGCAGATTGGAGAAATCTCTGGCTGTCAAAAACACAGAAGATCGTGGTACAGACACTGAAGGAGAACCAGCCAATGCCATAGGTAAAGTACCTGCTAGGAAGCTACAATCAACACGCCTGTTAAACAGCTGCCTGCAGAGTGGCTACCTGAGCAGACAGCCTGACTAACTAAAAGCCAGTTTCGGCTTAGTCCACTTATGTTGTATGAAGATATAACATTCTGTGCTAGGGTTGCACATCTGTGTTTCTATCACTCTGTGCGACCTTTAACATTTTGGGCAATGTCATTTGCATCCGATGTGAACATCTACAGCTGTGACAGTCGCTTGGGATATGAATATTGCATACACTTGTATTGTGATGATGACATAGTTGCGATGTATTTTGCAGCCCTTTTTTATTCAATAAGCACCGACTTTAAATGTAGCAGGTATTTAGTTTTGAAAGATTTACTAAAGGTCAACATGACAAATACCTTACAAAGGAGTTTTACTTCCTCACCCTATAATATTCAAGTGGGGCAACTGGTGCTAAGAGGTAAGTCTGAAAGCTCCACTTATGATAGGATATCAAAGCTTCCAACCGTCCTCAGCAGATATCTCCAAAACTGTGGGCATTAGCTGCCAACAAAGCTCACTAAAGAGTAACCTTACACCACGTTATAACTTTGGACAAGAGTTAAATGGTCAGCTAAATGAATACAACTTATCCTCTGGAGACTTTGAATAAAACTTTTACACACCCTGCCAGCCATCTGGCATCATTCAGGGAATTCTAATAAGGAGCTGTCAACGTATCATACTCTCAACCTAAGTGTTAGATGACAGACCAGAAAGACTTTCTACTCTACTCTAGTCAATCACAATCGTCAGTAGACAAGAGAAACTCCTCAAACCAAACACATTACGGATACACTGACGAGCACAGAATATAATGAAATGTAACAATGATTTCTTGGCACCAGGCAACAGAAGGCTTCTCAGAAACATGAGGCAAGCTGTGGAGGAGATTTTTGTTGTAGTTTTCCTAATGAGGAGTCGGGCAATCAAGGTCAAAAAGAGTGAAAAGCAAATAAATCATGACTGGAAACCCCAAAACACATGATTAGCATGTCATTATGCCTGACTCTTGGCTTATTACCCTATCCCCCCTTTTTTTTTTTTGGAATTGCAATGAAGATTGTGGACATGCATATGCATGCACCCACACGATACTGAAAGATTGTTAGGGTTCTGGGCTTCTCTTTGTCAAACACCGCAAACAAAACGACTGGCTTCAGTTGAAAAGCTCTAGCAGATGAGTGATGTTATAACAGCAAGAGACAGAGACATTAGAAGAGGGAGAAAACAAGAGGAGGAGATAAGACCGGTAAAGATGGGGGTGGGGGCTGAAGAGGGGAGGGAAAAAAAACATCACGGTAGTAACCATAGAAATAGATTTTCTCCCCCAATCTGAGCTCTCAGCCTTTTTTTTCTGTCTGATCTGCTAACGCTTTTTCTTCCCTTTCTGTTGCTGCTGCTGCTGTCATGATCCGCAGTCTCTCCAGCACCATTAACCGGAGAGAGCACCGGCCCAGGGAGGGGGCTAGAGAACTGAAACCCGTCCTCCTGCTTTATTATCAGAGGTTAAGAAGCCAAATACCATAAAGATAAATTACATTCCCAAGCTTGGGCTGTTAAAAGTCAGGAGCTCATTATGTCTCACAGGGAAACGGTGAAACCACAACAACGGCAGCGACGGTGGGAGTGTGCCTGTGTGTGGGGTTCCACGTCTCAGAAAACCTCATTGACACACTCAGCCGCATACCAATCAGTGTTCATGGAAAGATAACGCAGCCCAGCATCCTCTGGTTCGTTTATTTTATCTGCCTACGCATCGGATGAGCCATGTGTGGTCGCAAAACACACAAAACAAGAAAGAAAAATAGAAATCATGAGAAAGAAATATCAGAAATTAGCTCCGATTCCGTTCTCGTTTTAAACATCGAATGGACAAATTAATTTTAAGCCCCAACAGGCAGAAAACTATTAACATAGACAAGACCAGCTGCCCAGGCCACAATGCTGGGTCACCTGGAAGAGGGCTACCAGCATATTATGAAGCCCAACAGCAGCAAAGGAGCCAGTGTTAGTATGGGGGAACAACAAAGATGTTACAGGAGGCATATGCAAAGGAAATGATGATTACTGTGGATTCACTGTGAATTAAAGGGAAAGAGAAGACCAAAACATATTGGTAAACAAGTAGCACTTACTCAGATTTGGCCAATGCTGTTAATGCTCTGCTGAAGAACCAGCCTAGAAAGGGCAGATCCTGGCCCCGGAAGCCTGCTGGCACAGCTCCTCGCTGGGTTGCTGAGGCTGGCCAGGGGGCAGCCTGCTCCGGCTCCTCAAAATTAGAGGCGTCATCCTCAGCATGCAACGCAGGAACGAAAGGCGGCGGAACTGCGAGAGTAAAAAAGGATGAGAGAGGAGGGAACAGAAGAGGGCAAGGAAAAAAAAAAAAAAAGGTAGTAAAAAAATTATGTTTAAAAGAACAACACAAGGAGAAAGGAAAGAGAAAGGAAGGGAGGAGGAGCAGAGCGGTGGGAGCCTAGAGTGCGGCAAGTCGCGCGTTGATGCACATGCTGCCTGTGTTCCTCCCTCCACCTCTCTCCTCCTTTCATACACATGCTCGCTCGCTCTCCCTCACTGCAGCAGAGCGAGCTAATCAGCTGGAGTCACAGCTGAAGCAAAAAGCTCCATCTGTGTTGAACTGTCAATAAACAAGGACTGAATATCTAATGCAAACATGTAAACATGAGATACTTCTTAAACAGTGTTTTATATCAAGAACAGATTTCCCCCCCAAATTGTATAAAGGTGTTTAAATTTTTTAATATAAAATAATCAACACTTTTCAGTTTTCAAAAGTCTATCATAAATACTACTTGCAAAGAGGACATCTTTCAAATGAGAAATATATGATAAGAAAATTTAATGAACACATCAGATCTGATGAGCAAAAAAAGATGAGTTTGCTTACAACAAGTGTATTTAACCAGTAAACTGGGATACTGGTCAGACACGTTTGACAGAAAATATTTCTTCAAGGGTTAGAGTTGTGCTTTTTCCAAAAGCTACTCAGCTGACGCTGTCGAACCGAACAAAAACAACGATGTTAAATCATCAGGCGTGTGCTTCCACCACGGAAAGCCTGCTGGTGTAGCCTGCGTTCAGGATTTGTGCTGCGTCTGTTAAGAAGCAGATGAGTTGCAGATCTTCACCGTCAGCCTTCCTCCCATTTTCTCCCCTACAGAAGGAGCTGGCCCGCTGCCAACGGCTCACAGAGGCTCATTATTTCACAACTGAAAACGCCTTTCATAATGCAATTACTCTTTGTTGCTTGCATACATCCAGAAGCATATAAACACACCTATAGAGAGACTAAGCATTTGTTCATACTGTTACTACGAGGCAGAAAACAGAGTGTCAGAAGGAGGGGATTCCCCCCACCTTGTCTTAAGTTGTTCCAGTCTACATTTGAGAAGAAGGCGTGACACCGCAGTCCCTGGTAGCCCAGACGCTCTCTCGCTCCACACAGCAAGCCCCGCACCAAGTCAACAAACTGCTTACTGGCATGAGGCTCTTCTGGAAACTTTAAGTAACGCTGGAGGCAAAGGAGATGGGCATTCAATAATTATTCATTTCTTGAATAATATAATGACTAGATTTATTTTTTCTTTAAATGATCACCGTACCAGACATACCTGAAAATTAAGAATGTTGTTGATGGTCTTGGTAGATGTGGCATCAGAAAAAGGAGACTTGGCGTAGATCATCTCATATGCAATAACGCCAAGGGACCACCAGTCGCACTCAACCCCGTAGGTGCTCTGAGAGCCGCCGTTTATGACTGTCAGGACCTCTGGGGACAGAAAGTCCTGGGTTCCAACAGGGACTGTGGCAGTGGCTACCTGGAAACATTTAGAAAATACTTCAAATACCAGTAAACTGTGGGTTACTGGTATTAAGACTAACCAAGGTATTAAAAAAAAATAAATAAATAGTTTAAAAGTCGCAAAATTTTTCAATCATACCGCTAATGTGGTTTACAGGATTACTATACCCTTCAATGCACAAGTCTATATGGCCACAAATTTATAGAGTTTCAACATTTTTATTTAAATTATTTACATTTGAGTTCAAACTTAATTCCGAACCTGCCTCTATCGTAGAATTTTACACTCAGTTATAAAGCAGCACACGTTCATTTAAACTGGCCAAGATTTATTAAAAATGAATGGCTTTTATGACTGCACATTCAACATTTAATAGGATAGGACACAATTAAAGAATTACAGTTTACCAGAAAACAAACAAAATACACCATGGCATAATTAGACTTCTTTTAGAAAATGGAAGAAAGAAAAAAGTCAAACTCAAATCAAACTAAATTCCACTTTTTATGTTAGCATATAAAATTTATTTTAATAAGAGTCAGAGTAAGGACTTTAATGCAGCACTTCCTCTGCTGCAGGATTCTGCCTACTCCCAGTCAGCCAGCTAAAAAAAAGACGATACTATATTTTTCTTGTACTTACCAACCAACTGGCATGTTTGGAAATATTTCCATCTTGATAAAGTCAGTCAAAGCTGCTTTGAAACTCCATAAGGCAAAGGTATCCATAGGTTTTTAAACTTTGCAGTAATACTAGGAAACCTTCACTCAACGTTATCAAATTTCAAGATCTCATTCAACCAACCCATTTCAGTGAGGTCACTGTTAATAACACTGAAGTCAAGACCCTGTAATCTACTTACGGTTTTGTTTGCAGTCAACTTGGCAGCTGATCCAAAATCGGCGAGCTTAATGTGACCAGTCCGGTCGATGAGAATGTTTTCTGGTTTGACATCTCTGTAAGGAAATATTTTATAGGACATATGATACTGCTTTTAAAAAGCTTTTTGTTGCCTCAGTACTTTAACAAGTCAGCTACTCTAAGTTTAATGGAGCACATTAGGAAACATCAGCATTGTTTTTTTTTTTTTTATACTTTATGCTGTCTGACTCGGACGTCAAAACCAATTTAGTGAAAAACAAAGTAGCAAAACCAACTCATAAACTCTAGTGGCTCTTCCTTTTACCACACTCTGAAGGGAAAGCAGTAAAGAGATAGATATAGCTTCGAGTGTCTAACCTGTGGACGTAACCCAGCTGGTGGACTGTCTGAATGGCTTCTACCAACTCAGCCAAATAAAACTGAGCCATTGACTCGTCAAATTGATCCTCGTATCGGTTCAGCAGAGACATCAGGTCACCGCCTGGCAAGTACTCCATGGCCTCAAGACACACACACAGACAGACAAAGTCGATAGAAAAGAACACAATAACGGAACACAAATAAAATATGATGCAATAAAATAAAACATTACATTTTAGAACTAGACAATATATCGAATCCCAGCCACAATTTCAAAGTGTGCAACACTGAGAACTACTTACATCTAGTATTTGGTAGGATATAATATTTCAGGGTCCATCCGTTATGTTTGTAAACAACATATTTGGCCACTCTGATGGACTTTCACTTTCTTATATGCCCACACTTGATTTATATCATGAAACACCACTATGCATATGTCCCAAAATTTCATCTGATTTTTTTCAAAACTAGAAAGAAATAACTGTCATATTTACAGACAAACCAGTGGGAGTTTTAAGTTAGGATGCATTTCGTAAACACAAAACATTTATTGTACTGTTGATTTTGGGCCGATCAAATGCAAACTGGCTGATTTCAATCGCTGAATATTTATCATCTACATGAGACAGCAATAAGTGTTGGATCACATATCATGCATCTGAGCTCACATCAAAGCTATGTGCAGATTAAGCTCATAGGGTATTTCTCCTCATTATAAATTCCTTATGTAAGGAGCGGATACTATTACAGATTTATCTCTGATACCGCAGTCAAAGCATTGCTAAAAATAGACCAAGAATACCCGCAAAATCCCTGTGCAGTGTGTATTGCTGTGATCAAAGCGTTAAATAACACCCTTCCGGCGAAGCAAACATGCCAGAAATTATATCTCATTCAATATTTGCATACATTTTATCTGAAAACACAAATAACTGAAGATTATTTTGGCAGTCTTCTGCACCTTGAGGAGAAAGAAACTGGTCAAGTTGATTGGAGCTATTCGGTTCCTTCAACACACACACTTAACAGGCGAGAGCCCCTGGCGCATGAATGGTCTGAGAGTCTGAATGAACAGGAGCATTCTCTAGCGTTACCTAGCAACAGAGAGACTGGGAGCCTCTCTGACACACGGATAAAGATGGATGCTTTGTATTTTTGTCCATGCTCAGTTAGTGAGCAGGGTGGGAAAGGGGGGCAGTGAAGAAGAGCGATGAAGAATTGAGATTGACACGCAGGGAGCATTAAGTAAGATATATATATATATATATATATAAGGGGGAGGCAGAAAAAAACCTCACTATGTAATGTACAGCTTTACTGAGCAGAAAATTCCTTTTCCTTCAACCTCAGTCAATGTGGGGTCAACACAAACAAAGATTGGGTTGTGTAAGAAAAAGGGTCGGTTTAGAGGCTGACAGAAACACAATTTTTGTAGAAAAGTTTCCTTCACTGAATCTAAATAAACTCTAGAGATGTTTAAAAAAAAGACAACCAGCCACACTTTGCCAGACTGATACACTGAAGAAGAGAATAGCATGAGTCATGTCATTAATCATAAGAGGGGGTTAAAAGGATTTCTAGAGGTCTTGCACATGCTTTACTAAATTTTTAAGCCTCATCTTTGCAGCTGACTTTTTCCCCTTTCTAAATTATTAAACCACTTATCAAGATTTAAAAGTCATTTAGGAACAAAAAGCAACCTGTTTAAGGGGATGATTCAGTGTCATGTCTGATCTTAGACAATTCAGAAAAAAAAAATTTCAATAGCTACCTTTTTTTTTTTTTTTAACTAGCAACATGTGTCCCATTTATCCTAGCTGAATGAACAAAAACCCCAAAAGATAATAGCTTTGCAGGATTTGAACTTGAAATAATGTAAGATTTCAGTGATTTTTATAAATATGGTGCAGAACTTTGAATTTGTTGACTTTCTCTAACCCACACAGAGTCAAAAATATACATAGAGATCAAAAATTTCACTTTCATCCTCTAATAAAATGTATGTGAATGCCCATTTGGGCGTAGATGGGAAACCCCACATTTTTTGTAGCCATCAGTGAGCTTCTGATACAATTTTGGCTGAATATTTAGACACAGTTTACCAACCGTGGGTGGAATACTGGCAGGGACCTGAAAGTCTCGAGTTTTTAATAGGATTAAAGTATTTTTTGAAGTTTATAGATGGCCTATTTAAAAAAAACATTTTTATTTGGGTTTAAAACCATCGGCCTTCTGAAACAACCAATTGTGTGCATAGACCAGTATACTGCAGGTTGCCAAACAGACCCATTTCATGATTCTACCAACACAATGCTTGACAACTAATAAGGTTTTAAGTCTCATTTTGATGTAGTCAGACAGATCAATCTTTGTCTCATCTGAATTTTCTGTAAACCGAGCTTAAGGGGGCAAAATTTGGAGTTGCCAAGTTCTCAATGTAAGTGTTAAGCGTGTTTCACAATGAATCATAAAACTCTTCTTGTAGTTCCTGTATACTTACTTCAGAAGTTTACTGTTCAAATCAAAAGCTTGTGAGTTGGACACTTCAGTGTTTCCAATCAAAGTTCAGTACTAGCTTTGTCCTAAATCTATATACAACAGGCCCTATGCTATTCCCAGCAGTTCACACACTAAGTCAGTATGCACTCTGCTGAGCTTACCCCATAGATCACAAAGCACAAAGCACCTCAACTGGGCTACATTCTTCTAGTGCAGCAACTTGACCACCAGACAACCACAGCAAAAATTAAGCTGAAGCACTTAGGAAAAGCCTTAACCCTCATTAACCCTATTAAACATGCTACAGTCTCACCAGGTAGACGTGATCTTTATCCTGAAAGGCAAAAAGAAGTTGTGGAATCCATGGACTACTGTTCAGAGCCAGAATCCTGCGTTCCTCCTCATGAAAAACAACCTGCAAAGAAGTAAAAGGATAGACATACAGCATGTCGACTTAAATGTTTCACATTACCAGACTTGTACTTTGTGAACAATACAAAAAGCAGCTTTCAGATTATTTCATTTATTAAAGGAAAAACTGTCCAAAACAACTTGGTCACAACTTGTAAGAAACCTCATACTTGGTTGTGTAACCCATGGCAACACTAACCAGCATCTAGCGTTCCTGAGCCTTCCACATGTCTGGAGGAATTTGGCCCCCACTTCTTTCAAAAATTGTTTTAATTCAGCAGCAATAGGGGGTTTTCAAGCCTATTCAAGATCACACCATGGTCTCTCAATTGGATCCTAATCCACAGTTTGAATAAGCTACTCCACGACCTTCACTTTGTTGGGTATTTTTCCTTTGTGCTTTTCGGAGGTTGTCACTAAGATCTGATTTAACAAAAGTGTGTTTCAACTTAAGGTCAAAAACTGATTCTTCTTCAGGGTATTCTGCTAGAGAGCCAAATTTCTGGTTGCATCTCATATGGCAAGTTATACAGAAACTGAAGCAGGAAAGCAGTCTAAGACAGTCACACTACCACCTCCATCTTTGACTGATGGTATGCCATTCTTCCAATCAAAAAAATCCTGTTTAGGAAATGTGAGACTAGTTTTTTTTTTTTTTTGTTCTTTTGGTTAGTGGAGGAATTATCCCATGAATGCTATTTTTTAGCCCATGCTGACAGAGAGGTTGTATTTATATGTTTTTGATGCTACAACCTTTTTAGTCACTTTGGTTATCTGATTAACATAACCAGATTAACGACTGACTATGTTCAACAAGTGCTAAAAATAACTTGTTTGAAACATGTAAGTATGACAGAACAAATCTGGAAAGAGGTCAATCCTTTTTCACAGCACTCTGCATGTAATGAAGGAAACCTTAGTGCCTAGTTCCTAGTGCAACACAGTTCAACACAGAAAATACAAAGGTCATTATAGAAAATATTACACACTATTATCAATCATCCCAAGACCTGATATTTGCCATTATGAACAGAATTTTGTTGTATTTAGTTTTATTATGGAATAGACTCCACTTCTCAAATTTCAACAGGACAAAGGCTACTAAATAGGCAAGAGTAGTCTGGAAATTAAGAGGCTACAAGTTTCATTCCAGCATCCCCCATGCCACACAGAACTCCATGTTGCCACTGATCTGTGAATCACTCTGTGAAATTTAGTGCCAACGAGTGAATGTGACACGTAGTGAAAGAATGGGTCAGTATGGTGAGAGTGGTCGGTTCATTTACAAAGGAGCTTTCCAAGATGGATTTCGATAAAAGAACATAAGTATTCAATTCAATTTAAAAATACTTTAATCCTAAAGAGAAATTAAATATAAAGTACAAATGGCACTGGTTACTCAAAAACCACGTCACTGTTCAGGATATCAAACTTGTAAATGATATCAATTCCCTGTATTCTCTTCACTTTTTAATGTCCTTTTCAACCTAAAAATGTAATTTAAAGTAAGCAAAATGGTTCCATGTGGCATAAAGAAATAATTACTTGTTCATTCAAAGTCGTGCAGTTAGTTGTTTCTTTATCATCACTTCCTGACATTGCTCATGTAATGTTCTGACAGAAATATGTTCCATTAGTCATATGCCAGGGACCACAGCTGTGAAATACCATACCCAGACTTTTTTTTAATGTTATTCAGCCTTACAGCACTCCCCTGTGGATCTTTCTGACAGTGCAGCTGAAGAATATTAAGTATATCAAAAACAATGTCAATGCAGGGATAGTGTTATTCTTCACTTCATTTTCTCAAAAGTATTGTCTAAATTTTGCAAGCTTGTCACATATTTTTTGGGCGAGTCAAGAGTGTCTTACATTTTCTTGAGTGCGTAGCACGGCCTTGTTCATCGTTTTCAGTGCACAAACATCACCAGTGGCTTTTTCTCGAACTACTCGAACTTCAGCAAAGCGACCACGGCCGACCACTGCACGTAGCTCAAAGTCATGAACCGCTGGCTGCAGGGCACGCAGCTCGGAGACTGCCTCAGAAACTGTTTGGGAGACAAGCATTAGGATGTAAGCAAGAAAAACTTGTCCATTATGATATATTTAGGGTTTCTACATATGTCCAATCTCAAAATCCCACACTTTCCTTAGTAGTTTTTTTTTAAATAATGTTCTAGTCAATTATGTAAAAAAATATTTATTAAACTGAGTTTTATTATCTATGTTTTATTATACTTATTTCACCTCTATTTTCTTGCCTATAAAACATACAATTCCATACATTTTGTGAGACAAATACAAGAGTTCACAGTACTTTTTAAAGATAGTTTTAAAATATTAAAGTACAAATGCAAGAATTCATAGAAGAAAAGACAATTTTAAGACTTTAAAACTAGAACCTGAAAAAGACTGGAAAAGGATGGAAAGCTGATGGGGGAAAGAGACAGGAGGATGAGTGAATTATTATGAATGAATGTTACATATCGGTAACTTAAAAAGATGAAAACAATAATTGAGTTGGAAAAAGCTGTGATGTGGCAAAAATAAAAAAGTACCTACTTTAAATATAAAACAACACAAAACACTTTTCAAAGTATCTGATTTTTATCTTTCAATCAATGGAAGAAAGAATAAAGTTGGCAAACTCAGTTTTCGCTTTTACATATTTATCAAGACTTCTCACTAGATATGCATTGAGATGAAGTTACTTACATTTATGGACAAACTTTGCCACATGTTGAATCTTCATTAGCTCAGGGGATGTGCACTCTTGGTAGAGAAGCAACAGAGCCTCCAGAAACTCCTCCCGTCCTAAGCTGCATCCTCCCTGCTGACCGCCGCACAAGCTCACTCTTCCCTGGGGACAACACAGGAAGGGGGAGTCAGGTACTGACTGCGGACCACCGGCTTTAAAATGTGCCGCACAAAGCATATATACTGACAAAGTAGCCGAATGAAAGTAAGATAGTTAGATATGGCCATACCTGAAACACCTGGTTGAGGCGCAAGCTGCGACTGGTGATTGGGTCAGCGGAGGAGCAAGGTGTTTTCAGGGTTCCCTGACTGACGTATTTAAATTTCAACATGTTTCCCTAACCCCAGATAACCTAGGTGAAAAGCACACGGTTATTCAGAGTTGAAGTACCGCTAATGGTGGGTTTTTAATCAGTAAACGAACCAGCTAACCAAATGTCAACACACCGTCCCTTTAGCTCGCGCTACGTCAACGGTAGCTAACGTCCACTTCTCTAAAATTGCTAACTAACGAAAACACGACACTCGCTGCTGTTCACAAATCATATGTATGTACACAAAGTTTACTGAGATGCGTAAACACTTACCACACTGCCATGCAGACAATAATAATACAATGGTAACATAGACGCAGCGATAAGCCCTCTCTATTCCCGCTGTTGTTTCCGGGTGAACTTTCAAATTTTGCGCGTTTCCCGCCCACCTCACGAGCCTTGTGAATGGCGGTGCTTTCTGATTGGATATTCTTCATCTTCCTGGGCGGGTCTCTGTATTGTTTCTAACCAATCACTGATAGTTGACCTCAACGGAGGGTTTCTCTGAGGAGGAAATGTTAGGGATATGTTGTTATCGCAAACGTTAATCTGAACATTAAGTGGACACAAAGTTGGGGCCTGAAATATTTGATTTCTCTTTGATCCGGGAAAATCAAAGAAGACTTTTCAAATGTATTTTTTTTTGTATGCACAAATGTCAAATAAGATTAAAAGTATTAGTTGTAAGCATTATGTCACTTTTAGCTCTCCATATTGTTGAGACTGTTTACCTTGTGAAAACTGGATATGTTTGCATTTTTCAAGACTTCAAGCACTGGAAAGCTCAGAGGAAGTCTGAGGCCGTTTTCACTGTTTTTTTCTTGTAACCCTTATTCTGAAACAACTAAGTTTGAGCTGCAAGGTAAGACAAATGTAACTTTATCATATGCAGTGCCTTCCAAAGGTATTCAACACCACTTGAACATTTTCGCATTTTGTCACATTACATCCACTGCGTTTTAAGTAACTTTATTTGACATATCAATACAGAGCAGTGCATGTACTTGTGAAATGGCAAGATAGTGATGTATGCATGGTGTTCTACGTTTTTCTTTTTACAAATAAAACCCAAAAATATGTGATGATGTGCATTTTTATTCAAACCTTCGGAGTTAGTTGAAGCTATAATTACAGATTTCACTGCAATTATAGCTCGAAGTCTGTTAGGGTTTGTCATAGGTACCTGCTGTGCACATCTAGACACTGACACATTTGGCACATTCTTCTTCTCACTCAGATTGCATGGAGATTATCGGTGAACAATGTGGCAATATGTCTGGCAACAGGTCTGGACTTCGACTGGTCCATTAATAAAAAAAAATATTTCAGTTGTGTCTCTGTGCTAGAAGGTGAACATCTGTTCCAGTCTTGTCTTTCTCAGGCAATATTGTTTTTTCTTCAAGGATTGTCCTGTGTTTTGGCTCCATTCTTCTACTGCTGAAAAAAAGGGTATGGTGTGTTGAGGGTTGGTTTGCATTTTCATTTTCAGACACGCTATGTTTGCATGAAGGCCTTGTGTTACACCTGTGTGGCTTATGGCAATCTGAAAAAGTGACCCCTCGTGGTTTTCTTTAAAGGTTTGGTGGATGTCTTGCTCGGTTTGCAGTTGTGTCATTGTCTTTCCATTTTCAGATAATAGATCAAACAATCTTGAGTGAGATGCTTCTCTCTAATTTTATTCCTGAACTTTCTCCTATGCTCTCCTGTACTCTTTGCTCTTCATGACGCCATTTTCAAATAGAAGTTGAACGTTAAAATGTGGCAATATTAGTTAAACTCTGAGCTCCATGAGTGCATTTGCAAGGCAGTTTAAGCACAAAGCAAAACGAAAACTTTAGAAGCATATGCTTTTCCGCTTTTATGGAAAATCTATGTAGAAGGTTAGTATTCTAACCTTGGTAGAATATTAACTCATGTTGGTAACTGTATCCGTCTATCATTTTGAGAAATTTCCATTTTATTTCTAATATCAACTAACTTATCAAGCAGTCAAGTTAGTTGACTGTTGACATAATAAGCACTACGAAACAAATGTGCATATAGCCAAAGTCAGGGCCAAAGCCTTTATTTCCAGCAGAGATACATGTTTCAATATTACCAGTTCCAGTTTTCCAAAACTGCATGGTCAGGAAGCCTCACCCAAAAAGGAGCATGAAGGAGAAACCGGGGATTGGTCAGCTGCATTCAGCTTCCCCCAGTCAGTGTGGGTGTTGTCAGAGGTGTGCTGTTAAGGCTGGGGTTTCGTTTGGGGTTTGGGAGTGGGTTGGGGATTAGGACCAGGAGTGGGGTTGGGCGGTGCAGGGGAAGGGTCAGGGGCTGGGGCAGGAGCAGGACCAGGGGCAGGGGCTGGGGCAGGTGGAATATAACACCCTCTCTTATGCCACTGCATGTCCCGCACACGTCGGACGGACTGGATCTGAGGTGCAGTGGCTCCCCAAGCATTCCAGTGCTTGAAGTCTCCATGTTCAAAAACGTACTGGCGCCCTCTGTAGCCTGGATATGTATATCCCACCCACCTTCAAAAGAACAACAATAAATTACAAATCATCACATCAGGTACATCTGTCCTATTGCTCCAAGCCTTTCAGCGTTTCAGTTCTACCTTTCAGGCCATTGGAACATATTCATTATTCCTTGTGATTGAGAAGGTGTATCTTACGTTCCAGAAATAGCCTTAGCACTAGCCACACGGTCTTGGAAGCCATGAACCCAAAGGCTGGGTACGTCATCATCAACAATCTCCATCTTTCGTCCTTCAAATCCTGCATTCTCAAACAGGTGCAACTTGTGATCTCCACTTTCCTAAGGAGAGAAAGAACACCCTTGCTTATGTCGCACTTCAAATCCGCAAAAGAGCCACGTTTAAATGCTTCTTACCACTTTGAGAGGTCTGAAGGAGCTCAGGGTGTAGCTACTCTGGCAACTGGTCCAGGTGCTCCACCGAGGATACTCTCCTTTCTCGAGGACAAACTGCTCCCCACCAAAACCCAGGCACTCAAACCCTACCCATCTAACAACACAGACATACTGCATTACGAACAACTGCCAAAATGTAATACGAGCGAACTCAAAACGAGAGAATGATGAGAGTCACTCACGGTCCTGACTCCACAATGACCGAGCCAACTCTCGGGGTCTTTTCCAACACGTCTTTACACTCGCCGGACAACTCCACCTTTTTCCCACGAAAGTTCTCAAACTCAAATACAGCCAACTTCAAAAAAAAAAAAAAAGGGAACAAGTGAAGGTTGATAAACAGTGTGGTCCAGATGCTACTAAATTCAGGTTCACCATGTGTGTGCTGACAGCACCTTATATGTGGCTCCAGCACCTCCTTGGCCCTTTTCTGCAGGCAGCTGGTCTGGGGTTCCCTGCTGTTCTGTCATGTTTTCTCTAGAAACCCCCCCAAAAAATCATATAGTTTAGGACAAATTAAGAAGAAGAACTTGCGTATTTCAAAACTTTGATCTCACATGTAGGTTTCACTAGTAGGTCCAATTTGCACAAACCAAAACAGCTTTTGCAATTTTAAAATAACATATTGCCTTTTAATCTTGGTAAAAGCAGATCATTTATTCAGTAAAACTTGCATTATTCCACTTAAGAAGGATTAATTTACCTGGATGGCTTGTGCTGTACTGCACCCCGAACAAGCCACGCTCTCCGTCTTTCCTTTTGTCTCGACTTTTTGCCTCCTGCCTGTCTCAGTTTGAGGGTGTGTGTGGTTGTGGAGGCCTGGCGAGCGGTCGGTGGATGCCAGTGGGGGTATTTATGGTTTATTTCTGGCCACAGCAGCAAAAAGCCTGTTGATACAGCAAGTCTGTCGCACCCATTGTGTCCATCACACTGCATCTCAATAGCTTTGCCCTCTGTCCCTGGCACTGTGGCAACTGCTGGTCAGGTCTGCCCAGGCTGCCATCCCGATCATGATCCTATAGGAGCAAATGCACTGACTGCCAGCCAAGAGCATCAACACAGATCAGTCTCACTCAGCACTATTGCATCAATCCAGCTTTTTTTTTTTTTTTTTTTTTGCATGTCATAACCCATCCAAAATCATTCAGCTTAATTCCCCTTACCGTATACGTCATTCAAAAAATTGTTTGTACATTTCACAGTTTGGACCACACAGTTCTGTTCATTAGAGTATCAAGTTATTTGTGTAAACCAGAATTTAAAAAAAGACATATATGCATTCTATATCTATATATTGTATACCCCTTCACAGAATGAGCTGGACAGTGTCACAAGTGAGGCGATGTCTGGATTTTCTTCCTTCACCTGTTACCCCTGCAACCTGACCTCAGATATGTGGAAGACAAGGGATGGATGGATGGATGGATGGATGGATGGATGGATGGATGGATGGATGGATGGATGGATGGAAGGAATTCAACTGCTATGTTGACGATATTCAGTTACATTCATCCAAAAGACTAAAAACCCAAACATATTATTAGACGACAAGCATGTCCTGAAGAAATAAAAAGGTTGAAGTACTTCAGATTTTCTGGATTTAAATTTAAAGTCTTCTTGTTTTTGTTTTGTTTGTTTGTTTTTTGGTCCCTCTTGATCCTCAATGTGTGTTGATGCTGAGACTGGCTCTGCCGGAGCAGGTAGAAATGAAAGGTTTGTTTACACTGTCACATGTTTGCTCAGGATGTGGATTGTATATCATATGTACAACATATATGATGATTTGTGTAGTATATGATTATGCTAAAATTAGATCAATGTGACTGCATGATTGGACTGGATTGAAATTAAATAACTTTTGGAGCACTATATAAATAACCTGGTGTGAATTGTATACATCATTTAGAATTGATTAGAAAAAATCCAGCCTCACTTTCTTAATACACGTAAAATATGTACTTCCCCATCAAAACAACACTCAAACTTCATAGAAAATAAAAACTTTTATTAAAGGTCCCTCAATTTCCATTAAGCATACACTATAATGACCAAAATGGTCACAATTTTCCAGTAATAAAAAAGGCACATGGTTTTCTAAGTTTTACAATCTTGAACACACACATATATAAACACACACACTTCCTGAATCTGTTATTGTCCCCAGAGAAAGAAATAGAACTACAGAATGTGAAACTGACAGTGTTGTAACAAAACACAGGAAAAAAAACCTCAATTTTCTGTAAAAATAACTTCAAACATGATTTTGCTATTGCTCAAATTTTATTGCATGGGTGGAAATATGGTGATGTTTTGTTAAAGTGCTTCAAACTTTCCTTGAGAAGAATTGTGATAGGATATAAAAAAATAATCTGTGCAACTTAAACTACAAACACACTTCCACTTAGTGATTATGTACATTTTTATGCTTTTGCCATTTATGTCTTTTAGTTGTCTATGTTGTGTGAGGATGTTTACAGTAAGTGTAAGGATTTATGTCTGGACCTGCACATCTTCTGAGGGATCTATAAAAGTTAAAGCATTGGATTTAGTGGTAGATTTTGTGTTAATCCAGTTAGTGGTGCATGTTAGATTAGGTAAAAAGACTGGAAAGTGCCTTATTTTAATAAGCATAATCAGTATTCTGATGAGGTGTAGTGCCATCATTTCCTCTATGATGGATTTCACATTCACAGATTAAGACACAGAATGGCTTTGCTCTAAAGTACACTCAAACATCCAGAGAGCTCTCAGACAGTGCATCCAACAGCCTCTGCGCACAGTCATGGCACCATATTTCATTTTCAACACACAAAAAGGCAATGTTGCCTCTGTGTCCAGAAAAAAAAAAAAGAAAAAAAAAAGCGCAATTTCTTCTTTCTCAGACAAGATCCAAAGTAAGGCACTCAAAGTGCAGAACGGAGCAATCATCATTACATCTGCCATCAGCAAGGAGCTGAAACGATCCAATTCCCGCTGAAGAGTGTGAAAGCCGTGTCTCCTAAAGAAAACAAAATGCATCGGATGTTATTTTCTATGAGAACTGTGAACTTCAGATGCAACTGAAACCTTGAAATGTCCCACAAATCTAAAAATAATAGTGATAATTATTATGTCTCTATTTTCATCTTTTCGTGATTTATTTGAAATGTTTTGGGTACAAGGGATTTTTTTTTAAAGTCTAAATTTCATTTGAATTTTCTCTCATCAACATAGACTCAGATACATATATACACCCCCAATAATATTTACATTTATGCCAATGGCCACATCCTGGCAGGTTGTCATACAGTATATATTGTATTTTAATTTGGTTGGCTTACTGGCACTTTGCTGACTTTTACTGTGAGTTTGCAAAGTATTAGTAAAGTAGAGTCAGGGTTTTCTAAAAACTTAATGTTAGTCTGCTTTAACCTGAACCGTCATTTGCGTCCTGGGATCATAATCCATCTGGAGCATCCAAATGTATCCAAGGTTTTGCCTGCTAACTGCTCGATATCAAATGAAAGAAATTGGAGATACCGCCTCTTCTTTAGTATATGTACTCTGTGCAATGTGTCTGTATCACTGGCAGCAAGACAGGCCCACAGAATGATGCTGACACCACCATGCTTGACAAACACTATTCTGAGAGGCTCGCTTTGACTTCTTTTACCACATTTATTTTTATCGTCTGCCCATAAACTTTGTTTCCTGTTGCAAATTTCAATTGAGTTTGAAATAAGAGGTTCATTTTTGGTAACTACTTTTTGTTCATGACACTGGGGTATGGATTTATTTGAGCCTGTATGTATAATTTAGCTGTTTTAGTTCATTTTAAAGCAAAAAATGAATATGATTCTTGTCCGTGATGAGTGAAAGTAAACTTACTTATGTCTGGCTAAGTTTCACCATTCTGCTGAGTCGTCTGCTTCCTACGAGTTGGCCTGAGATGCCTAAGAAGATGAGACGAGAAGATGAGACATTGCTGATAGCACAGAATGAGCGTCTCAATAAATTTCTCCAAATGTTTATTCGTTTTCAAGACGCTGACCTCTTTAAAATGTTTAGTCATTCTCAGAGCTTACCCTCCGTCCTTAATGAGTGCAGGGGGCAGCACTAGTTTAGCTCCTGCAAGACGAGGCGCCACGCGAGGAGTTCCTGAGGCCTGCGACGGAGATGGAGCGGCTTTCTTATTTTGACTTTCGGTCTCTTGTTCTCTTCTGTCTTCTACCGATCTCTCTTCTGCTTCAGCTGCCACGCCACCGGTTTTCTTTTTTATTCCAATCTGAAATATTGAGCATATTTTACATAATGGTATGGGTCAATGCCTTAATAAAGAAGGGAAAAAAGCTGAAAACATTTTTAGTTAACTTACAAGTAGATCTTTAGGGTTCAGCCCTGGAAACATGGGAACCCTCTGAGTAGAAGAATAAACTGGCTTTGATTCAGGTGGTTCCTCCTCTGAGTCTGACTGATTGTCTTTTTCATCTAAGAACAAAGAAACAGATCAGTCAAACCCTGCAGAGAAACAAAACTTACAGTAAATCACAGTTTTCATGCAAGACAAGCTATTAGGAGATATAATGTAATAACCGTTACCCTTAAAGACACTCATTTGTACTGTGGCAGCTTCAGCCGACTCTAATCTGAGAGAGCGAGATGGACGCGATCGTGTTAGCCTCCTGCCCAAAACTGCTTTAGATTTTTGTGAGCTGTTGTCAAGCAGAGGGGCAGAGTTCTGTGGAGAGCAACAAAAACACACGAGTAAATACCGGTGTACCTTCACACAATAAAACCACAGGAAAGAGGACATTATTTTCCTAACTTCAAGGTGTATGTTGCAGAATAAAATCCTTTTATGGCAGAGAGATTTAGAGTTTTTTTTTTTTTTTTTTTTACCGACCTCACAGACTGCATCTAAATCCATCTCTCTTTTAGAATCAGTATTATCCAGATCTTCAGAGGAGGCATCAGGGACTGTTGGACTGAAAAGAATGAAAGCTCTTCAGGGTTGAATGTACACAAACATTTCTGGCAACTTTTTGTACGACTTTTCATTTATATATATATATATATATATATATATATATATATATAAAGTCTTTCAATGTCATTTCCAGTCAGGTTTATGACCACGTCACAAACCCCAGGATTAGAATTTTTCTGTTTCTTTTTAATCCAATGTTTAAGGTTTACTATTATTCTTTTAATAAATGAATTAGCTTCACAATACTTAATTTATTTTTGCTGCTTATTTTTCTGTAAAGTCCTTTAAATTACCTTGTATTTCAATTGCTCAATACAAATAAACTTTCTATGCCTAACAATATTTATTTGTTTTTTTGTTTTTTGCATTTCTTTTTGTTCTATCAAGCAAAAACCTTAAATAAATGATGTGTTCAATTAACCACAAGGGGGCAAAGACAATTTAGTGTCCAGCTCTTCTTGTTTATGCTGCTCCAGTGATTTGTTCTTTATATATTATATATATTCCTTATATATCGCCTTCAGGTTCTTTAGGTTAAACCTGTGTATAATTCAGGAAGATATACTTCATTCTTAGGTATGTTATAAACTTTATCTCTTATGGCTACATTTGTATTATTAATATATTAGACATTGGATGGAGTAGCTTGTTAACTAATAAGAAATTTACCTTTGGGGATCAATAAAATATATTCTATTCTATTCGACAAATTATTTTATTTTAGAATAAAACTTATTCATCTACCTGTCAGGTCCGGACGCTTGTTCAGAAATCCCATCCTGCTCACCGTGCAACAAAGTCTGGATGAGTTTGTCCTCATCGTTTGTGATGTAGCTGTTAACCTGTGGCTGGAAAATGGAGACAGGAATTTAATGACACGATGTTTCAGAACCAAATATAACTCAAAAGATGCTCTTAATATGGTAGGCTGCAGAGAAGATGGGGAAACTCAACCGTGGCATATTGTTAACAAAGTGCAGATATCTTCTAATATAACTCTACCTATGCTCTGCAGGAGCTGCTCTGTAAATTGGAGCTGTTTTTTTTTCTTTTCTGGGGAGCGAAGGCGGGGGGAGTGGACTGTGTGCTGAGCCAACAGCGCTAACTACATGGGGAGAGAAGAAGACTAAGGATCAGCCAAGCATACGTCTTTTAATGAGCTGGTCACAGAGTCTGAGCTGTCCTCAACAAACACCAAGAGCAAGAGCACGCACAGCCACACACGCCTAACCCACGCATACACACACACTGGTGATGTCACGCCCTCATGCTGGAATGCACGGGTACACACACCAAACCAAAGCTACTCTGTGTACTTCTCTGCAAGCATTCCTCTAAGCTCACCTCATGGCCTGTCAAGAGCCACATCCCACTTTTTGTTTTTCCTGAAACCGTCACCTGGATACAAGGCAACACTCGAGTAAACACCAGCGCCCACATCTCATCGTCTTCATGGGCCAGTTTATTGCTCAGGGCTCACGGGGCAGCTTAATTTGCACAAAGCCTGTTATCTAGCGGCATAACAGCATGAATGAATAGGCTTATGGTGATTTTCCTATAACCACAGCCTGCGTTCAGATGCAGCAAACAGCATCAGAGAGGCTGAACACAGGAGGACGGGCTGTAATGTAACCTGTGTTCATCCTAGCAAGGCATCAAGTGGTTATCCTAATATTTAACGTAGCTCCTGCTGAATCAAAAGAAAGGCTCCTAAAGTAAAGAGACAAAAACTTCTTTTTTTTTTTTTCAGGAACACCTTTTGTTCACGGAAGGTAAAAAACTGGCTCACCAGCTAGAAAGACGAGTTTGTCCAACTGAGAATCAGAGTCCTGTAAGGGATTTACATTTTTTTCTGCAATTGGCTCTTTAGCAATGCCAAAAAAAACAACAATTGGATATTTGTTTTATTTTACTTTTAACACTCTGCAAATAATCCGTTTATGCCTCAAAATAGCTAAGATATTTACTTTAACTTCAGCAGAATGTCACAAAACTTGACATGATATCAAAAAAAATAATTTATAGTCAAAAACAAATTTGGCATCCAACAACACACATATTTTCACAAACACTCTGGCCTCCACTGGCACACAAGGCAAATATTATCAGTACTTGTTGCTTTACACAATAAGAAAGTTCAAGTTTTTTGAAAGGTTATGCGAGGACGTTGTGAGCTGCAGCCAGTCTAACCTGTGGTGTGTAAAGACTGGATCCACTTCAAATTTTTAACCTTATTTTCTTAGATCAAAGACACAACAAATGACTAATGTTTATATATGAGATATTAAACAGATAATCTCTGAAAAAAAAAAGAAAATCGAGCTCCTCTGTCTTAGTGGAGGAGGGTCTTAGTGAAGTCAAATAAGAAACAAAGCTGTTAACGACATTTAACTAATTTCAAAAAACAGGACTGTTGCCTTGTCATGCCATTATATGCATTTTTTTTTAGTAGAGGTAGTTTTTTCTTTTTTTTTTGTTAAATCCATAAGAACTTCTCCCTGATTCCCCAAACAGAAATTACTTTGAGTGCCGTCTATTCTAGATACAGCAGGTACTTAGAAGAAATACGTCACATAAACCCAAATGAAGTTTTTCACGCAGAAAATCCCTATAAAGCAAGTACTTAAAATGCAACTTTTTAATTAAATCTGCCATCATGTTGCATTAGGCAATGGTTGAATTACCAAATAATTAATCTTTTCCATGAGGTAATTATAGACCTTTAAGCATCTGGACACAGATGTGCCAGAGAAAATATTCCCTTTTTTTCTACAGATTAACAATAAATGCCATTGTGGCTTTATCTACTTTTATCTAAAGACAGGCAGAAATCAAGACACTTCCTCGTACGATATGTTTGTCTCTTGAGATGTTCGACCAGCTCAAGAACAGCTGAACAAGTGTAGACACAGCGATCGTACAAGTTAAAAGCTCCCTCTACGTGTGACAGTACGTGTTTATGAGACTGGCAGAGGAGGGACGCAAGTCTGGGCAAAGTCTGTGTCTGTACACTTGCATCAATTTTTTGTTGCACTCAATAGAATGTAAGAGATGCTAGATGGAGCTAGGTGGAGAAGATGAACAGGCCATAAATGTTGCAAACACAAGCAACTTGAGTAAAAACAAAAAAATAAAATAAAATAGCCTCAAAATTATAACCAGACATCTTCAGTCTGCCAATGTTATTAGCAGTGATCCTTGCCTTCTGGATATATTGATACTTTTTCCTAGAATGGTAAGGTTTAGAATAGGTAAAATCATATTCATAGTCAGAATGGTACAGTCAAAGTCCAGATCTAAATCCATTTGTGGCCAGATGAAAAAAACTGATGTTCTCTGAAGCTCCACATCAAGTCTGACTGAGCTTGAGTTACTTTGCAAAGAAGAATAAGCAAAAACGTCAGTCTCTATGTTTTCCAAAGCAGCCTACAACCTACTTGTACATACTTGTAGCTGTAATTACAGTGACTGGGGGTCCATTGCTTAAGATACATTGAATACGGCAGAACACAAATGTGGTTTTAGTTTGCAAAAAGATCCAAAACTATGTGTCACTTTCCTTCCACTTCACATTTATGTACAATTTTGTGTTACTTTATTAAACAAATGCTAAAAAAAAAAAAAAAAAAAAAAAAAAAAAAAAAGTAAAGGTTTATGGTCCTGGCAAGAAATTCATTTTAAAACGTTTAAAGGTATGCTTACTTTTGCAAGGTAATGTATTCACATATAGCACAGAGGAGAAAATGTGCAGCCAGTGAACGAAACTAAATGAGTGTAAACAACACAAGGCAGATGTGCAGAGCAATAAAAATCCCATCTGATAAAGACGTCAGAGGTTGTCACGCTGTGTCTTTGACCTCAGCTGTATCTGTGACGCACACGACACAGAAGCAGAAAGGGAAACACATGCAGATCGATAAAACACCACCACATTCAGACAACTTCATCAGATAGCCGCGTCCTTCCTGAAACAAACTGTAGCCACCTGAAACATTCCCTACCTGGATTTGCATGGTTGTTTTTTTTAACACACGGGAGTGGGGGTTTTAGATGAGGTGATCATTGACGAAGAATAAGAGTGAGCGAAACGTGCTGCTGAACATCACTGATTAACTAAGGATTTAAAAGACTCCCGTCTGTATCCAACATGAATGAAAACAGCCAGGAAATAAATGTCTGTTTGTAAAATATCTAATGCAGCTCTGAACAATTTTTGATATTCTTTCTTACAGAGCGGGTTTCGGCGGCTCTCTTCTGAGAAGACTGCCCACTTCTGGCGGAGAAGCGTCGCAGGGACCGCCGGCTACGTCTGGCGAAGCTACGAAGGGGCGACATGGCCCTCTGAAACCTTCCCCCTCCATTTCCACCTTCCTCTTCTTCCTTATCGTCAACATCCTCCTCTTCTTCCACCTTCTGCCTCTCATCTGAGGGGCCCCAAACCAGCTCCAGAGCTCCTTGCAGGGACCGGCGGACGCTGCCCACCCAGTCGGCCACCTGCAGCTGGGCTGCTGACAGCTTTCCTCCCAAGTACTGCATGGTTGCTCACAAAGCCAACAGGGTCACCATGGGAACGGGGTCACCAGAAAAAAAATGATTCTCGGCTTAGCTGAAGATGAAAAGCAGGTAGTTCAGAATGACAGGAAGTCTCCATGGCAGAAGGTGAAGTCCGTCTTTTCATCCATATTTTGTACAAACTTCCAGACACAAAGTGAGCTGGAAGTAAAGAAATTTTGACTCAGTCCCTGACGTTTTCTGTTCCCGTGTTCCCTGTAACAGCTATGGCATCCTAAATTCATTACGTCAAGCCGTAATGAATTTAAAAGAGACTAGAATAAGTTTCCATTTGTTGTAACTTTGGAGGTTAAAAAAAATAGATCTGACAAATTATCCTCTTTCTCTCTCCGTCTAAAGCAAAAATTGTTGGAAGTATGATTGTCCCAAAAAGCAACATGGCAAATATCCGCAACTCCAACAATCTAAGGCCAAGTAACGAGCAGTAGACGATCCCCTTATCTCCAGCAGAGCTCACTGGTTTCAAAGAAAAGTAAGAAAAAGGCTTTTCACTCGGGCGTGAGAAATCCAGCAGGGAAATAAAGAAAAAGTAGGTGTGCCAAGGTGCTCTCTGCACCTCCCTCCAGGGCTCTCTTCCTGTAGGTAAATGCAGCCAGCGAATGAACCGGGTCTTTGTGAGAGGGAAAGAGAACAGAAAGCAGGAGTGAAAGCTGAGTTGGTGAAAGAATGGACACCAGCCCGGTGGAGTTTTTTGTTTGCACACAAGCCCATCCTCTTGTCCGAAAGGAGGGTTGGGGAGATTGAGGAGGGAGACGGACGGAGAGAATGAGAGCATAAAGGAACACCATGTATGGTCATTCTGACATGATGCCCTGTTATACAAATCCAAATGAGGACACACAACACCCTCTTATCATAAAATCCATCTATCCGTCTATCCACCTGCCTTTATGTCAGTACCCTGAATAAGGACGCACGGTTGGCTGCACACCATCTGTTTTGCCCAGTAAACATAATATTACCCAGTCTGCTACAAACTAACTTCTCTATGTTGTTGTCCGGAGTTTAATACTGCAGCATAAAAAGGAGGCGTCCTTGTATTTGAAGTCACTCAGTTAAGTTTTTAGAGTGCAAAGCAGTGCAGAAGCATAGAAAATATGTCAGCATTTCTGTGGCACAGATGAAGGAAGTATAATTTCCAAGTGCAGTGGCGCCACTCTGTGGTGGAAACAATAATTGCGTGAGATGACCAAAGCACCTCAGTCAAAGACTCTATACAGGTGGATGCGATGCACAGTGATGGTGGACATGTAAATTAGGTGTTTTATAGTTTGTTTATTAAAGCAGAGACACAATGACACACAGTTCAGGGCTCCTGGGTTTGGTGTTTCAGCACTACTGCAAATATGTTGCATGTGCAAACAAGTGCTAAAGTACACAAATACAAAATAATATATTTATTTTTATTCAGAACAGTTTGCTGAATTATTTACCCTGCTATTTATGGTTGAAATATTGTTATTGGAGACTTTTGTTGATTGTTATTTTTATTCTAGCATATAAGCTTAAGCAAAATTTGGAATCGATTTTGAATAATACTGAATGCTGAATTTTATCCTGTGAGAAGAACTACGCAGGGGATTATTTTGCCAGCTGACTGGTAGTGTGCAGCAATGGGTGGGGGAGGGGAAGCACTGAATTACTTTAAATTCCTTACAGCCTGAGAAAACTCGCATCCTATTAACAGCTGTAAGAACTGAATGTTTCTGGAGAACTGATATACCGCAATACAAGAAGCTAATACACAACTGGTCTTTTTCAAGAAAAGGAGTGATCAAATGTATTTCTAATTCTCACATTTTCTATTTGCATACTTACAAAATGCAACCTATAAAAACTTTGGCTTTATGCTAAAACTTTCTCTTATCTACTATTCCCTACATAGCTACATGCTGAGCTTTATTTGTGGATCCAGATGGATTTCATTTCAGATATGGTTTATTGGCTATGAAAAAAAAATGAACCCCTGATTAGTCACAATTATCGAAAAAAAAATTATATATACATTATGGTTTTGTTGGCACTTTATTTGAAAGTAGTTTGACAGGAAACAGGGTAATCAGAGAGAGGGAAGACATGCGGCAAATGTCGCCAGGCCGGGAATTGAACCTGCGACCACCATCATGAGGACTAAGGCCTCGATACGTGGGTCGTGTTTTGTCCCTGCGCCGCCACAGCACCCCGCCATTATCAAAATAATCTCCAATTTCAACTGACTGATCTCCAGTGTAGAGTTTTGGATGAGACAGACATCAGTAACAGAAAAACAGGATGTAAGCATTTTTACTTCTAAAAGGAGGAAAACTTCCTGGTTCAGGCTCAACAGCTTTCAACAGTCATGTGTTTGTTGGCATGGCTGAATTAATCATTACTCAACATGAATAAGCAGTGTTTGCAGATTAACAAGTATTCTTTTCTTGTTGAAAAACCGACTTATATGCTCATTTGCTGAGACAGAAATATTAGACATGTACATTATGGTCCGTATCTGAATAGAAAAGACTAATTTTCCATTCATCTTAGTCTCACAAATTGATTTGACTTTGGGAAAATACCAAACATTTTTGGTTTTCATCATGCATCCCATGTAATGATGTGTTTAATAGTGTAGTAAATGATCTATTTGCAATCAGGCTCTCAACCGTGGTAAATATGATGCCTGCTTACTACATTACAATCAATCTAAATGTTATTAGCTGCTAACTACTGAGCTGGCTCAGCAGCATATCTCACACGCGCTAGCACTTCTGGGAGATTAATTCAGTTCTGAAACCGTACAACAATCAGTAATGGGAGACATAAACAGTTGTGCGCGCTCACTTGATGTGAAAGGAAGAAAATTAGAAAAGCAAAATCACACCTGTGGGACAAATGTCTACAAATGTAGCATCTTTTAAGAAAAAAAAAACAAGAAAAAAAAGAGACAAATAGGAAAGCTATATCCAACAGACTACATTTTTATCTGAAGCACCACACATGGCGATTTTATTTATTTTAATTTCATTCTTCTACTAATTCATTAAGTAAACACAAAACAAAAGGAACAATAATCAAATTTTTGCAGAAATACAGATTGGCTCCTAAAAGTGTCTTCACTCCTGCTAAATTATGGGTTTTTGTAATACATAATATAGGATCATTTATCTTGTACAAGTCAACTAAAATGAATTGTCAGAAGGAAAACAATTATTGCATACATGTGCACACCCTTAAAGTAATACTTTAATTATGTGGATTTTGCATTCTGAAATATGTTAGGACTCATTGAAATGCTAAAAAAACTGACTGGTATTTGATGCAAGTTATGATTTTATGGTTTCATGTGAAGAAGAATACTTGTTAGAAATCCCTGCAGATTTTGTCTGTTTCATTTTTGATTTGCCAACTTTTCAGTTGAATTACAAATAAAACATTTTCAAACATTTCTGAGCCTCATTTCGACGAGGCTCATTTGTTAGATTAAAAGTACCTTTGCAAGTAATCTTTAAGCAGATATTTAAAAATACTTTTAAGTAGTCATACATTTCAGTATTAAAATGCTTTTTTTATTGGTCTGATGTGATATTCTCTCTAAATGCCTACATTTACCAGAAACAAAGGCTTGAAAACGTCAGTCAATGTGAATGGCAGGAAGTTCATTTAATGTTTGACATCTGAGTTTGAACACATAAAATGTGTGTATCACTTAGCGATGGAGTTACTCAAATGAAGGAAACTTTTCAGTTACTGAATATGCCTGTATGTAAAAAAAGAAAAAAAAAAGTTTTCTTTTTAAATAAATTATTGTTTTTTCAGAGGTGTGTGCACTTTCAAGAGTCTCTGCAGATACTCAGTTATGACTCACAATTATTTGATGTACTGAAATTCCAGCCCAACTTTGACTCCCATCATATTTTCCATTTCTAAAAAAAAAAAACAGTCAAAGGAAAAGACACAATTTCTTGCCACACAGCTTTCGTTTTCAGTTACACTGACACTTTGACACAAACACGTCTCCTCAGGGTAAATTTCACTTGCCTGTATTCGGTTCCTAGAGACAAACCAAAACCATCGAGCATGACTGGGACTGATCCCTGAACTTAGCCTTATAAGAACAAACAGGCACATGCCTTGGATTAGCTCATTCACTCTCAAGCAAGTATAACGAGTATTTTTTTCTTGCGCTACAGGAATGGCACCGTTTGAGCAGGTAAAGGTGTGTGTCACTGCCAGAAAGACATAATTCAGCGGTGAAACAATCACATCTGCTCGCTCACTCCGATCTCTGCTCTCAACCTCGCCCTGTCTTCATAATTGAACGATTAATCACAGTGCAGGCCGGGGACTTTTTTTTAGATTCTGCAGCAGCTTTCTGGAAGTTTAAGAAAAGCTGATGCTGCTTGACAGATCTTAAATCTATAGGATGATCTTGTCCAGAGGCTAAACAGATGTGAGGCGACTCTCCGTTTGTTCAAGAGCTCTAGGCTGTTTGTGTGCATTTGGAAATTGCTGCTTTGAACTTGGAAACAAAAGAGCTGTTGATGAAAATTTAAACAGCTAAAACTAAGATTATGCACTGGATATAAAAACCCTGCATACAGAGATCATATGCATAGATTTATACACAAATACATTTGTAGGCACTCTTGCTAACAATACAAAAGCTTTGAAGTAAGCTGATTTTTTTTTTTTACTGCAGTTACATAAGCTCAAAAAGAAAAAAATTAAGACTCTGTTCTGAGTTTATGTGCTGAGTGAGAAAAACTAATCTAGAGTTTAGCAATAATTGTTTTGTACAAAATCCTCAGTGGCACAGCTATTAATACTCATGCTGTTAATACCTCATGCTATCCATCTTTGCCATTAGAATAGCACTTTAGTCTTTGGATCTATGGTCTTTTTTTTTTTTAGATCATCCAGAGTCCAGGGTCCTTTCCTATCATATCGTCTCTTCAGCATACCCCGTGTCTGGATTTGGGTCATATTATTGTATGGCAGAGGGCACCTCCAACCCATCTGGAGTGACTGAGAATCTTCATCGGCTTCTCATCTGGCCAAAGCAAATGGTCCTAGCAGAGATGAGTAATCTTTACATGTTTACTTTTGTTATGGTATGATAAATAAATGTCTTCTACCTCCCACACATCTGTCTATTACTGTTGGATGGCATGTAAGTGGTATGTAATGTATGGAGACTTGTTGACCCCAAGATACCACTGTACCAGTAGTGAAAAATAGATGGAAATTAGAGCCCCATCATATTTATATGCCACAAAACTAAAACAGCTTAAAAAAGTAGAATATGTATAAAAGGATCCTTAGTAAGATTGCTAGGGGCACCAACCATTGTGCTAAAGGTTAAACTGAATAACTAAAAACTTATTTAAAGTTTTTTTTTGTTTTGTTTTTTTGCGTGATATTATCTTCTTGCAATACGAGCCAAATTTAAGGGTTTTTGCAAATAGTTACCAGGGGTAACAACAAATTTACGCACTGCTTGCAAGTATGACTACTGTCTATAAGCAGATCAACAAATTGTCAGTGTTTGTGTGTGAATTTTCCTGGACCTGGTAAATTAATGTACAAGGGATTTAAATGAGATCAAACTTTCTGTTTACCTCTTTGTTGTCCTCTTCTTCACTCTCGTCTTCCATTTGTGCCCCATTCTCCATCTCCTCCTCCTTCCTCTCTACAGGCTGGTCCGCCACCGGCCTCTCTGCCTCTTCTTCTCCCTCCTCCTTCACACCAAACTCTGCCAACAACCTCTTAACCTTCTCTTCCTCTGGGGTCTCTGGGGCCGGGGTGGGAAACAACAGCGTGGCTTGTGGCTTTGGTTCGTTTTCTTGCTGAGTTACCTGAGGTTCGCTGTCAAAGGACACCAGCAGGTCATCTTTCCTCGGAGGTTCGACTCTCCAGCTGCTGCTGATGGGAGCAGTTTCCCGCCTCGGCTGGAAAGTCCGTCTCCTGGGTTTGACAGAAAAGTCATCAAAGGCTACGTCGAGCACAGGGTTCTGGATCGAGAAGTCATCATAAACGACATCGATGAGGCTCTCTGTGTTCTTTGAGACGTGAGATGAGGGGGATGTTGGAGGCTCTTCTGCATCAAAATTGATGAGCTTTTCCTCTCTTTTGTCATTCTCCTCTGTTCTTGGCTGACTCTCTTCCATCTTTTTTTTCAGCTGGTCTGCCCTTTCCTTCTCCATCTGTAACTTTATTTCCTCTCTTCTTTTTCTCTCCTCCTCTTCCTCTTTGTCTTGCTGCATCTTCCTCTCCAGCTCCCTCCTTTTTCTCTCCTCATCCTCTTGTCTTAACTTTTCTTTTTCCAGCTCTTCTTCTTTCTCTCTCATCCTCATCAGCTCCATTAATCTTTGCTGATATTTTCTTGACTCCTCCTCTTCTTTCTGTCTTTGCTCTTCTTCCAATTTTAGTCTTTCCTCCTCCTCTTTCAGCTCTTTCTGTCTTTGCTCTTCTTCCAATTTTAGTCTTTCCTCCTCCTCTTTCAGCTCTTTCTGTCTTTGCTCCTCAAGTTCTCTTCTTTTTCTCTCCTCTTCCTCTTTGTCTTGCTGTATCTTCCTCTCCAGCTCCCTCCTTTCCCTCTCTTCATCCTCCTGTCTCTTCCTCTCCTCCTCTTCCTGCTTTCTGACTTGCTCCTTCTCCAGCTCCTGTCTTAACTTTTCTTTTTCCAGCTCTTGTTCTTTCTCTCTGATCCTCATCAGCTCCATTAATTCTTGCTGATATTTTCTTGTCTCCTCCTCTTCCTTCTGTCTTTGATCTTTTTCCAATTTTAGTCTTTCCTCCTCATCTTTCAGCTCCTTCTGTCTTTGCTCCTCAAGATTTCTTCGTTTTCTCTCCTCCTCCTGCTCCTGGTGCTTCAGAGTTTCTTGACTTTGGGTCTTGTCGTCCTTCCTCTGGAATATGCCGACTCTTTTGTAGACGGGCGTCGAAACGGCGTCCTCCTCTTTTTCCTTGTTTTCAACCTCAGCATTCTCTTCTTGATTTTCATCCTCACTGGATTCAGGCTCTGGGCCCAGAACCAATGGAGGTGTACCGTCATCTGCCACCACGGTTCCAAAGCGAACAGAGCGACGTTTCTTCATCTTCTTCTTCTTCAGCTCGGCCAAGTTTTTCTCATCAGCAGCAGCCGAGTGGTTGCTCTGCACCTGGACATCATCTTCCTTTGGCTTGTCAGTCTCTGCTGAAGTCTCTGTTAGATTTTCTAAGGGTTTATCTTTGAATGGTGCCTCCTCTGGTGGTTCAATTTGACTCCCTGTGGATGAGGATGCTGTTGAACGTGAGTCCACTGGCTGCGTGGGCGTCTCTTCCGCCGCAGGAACTTCCACTCTTGGTGTTTCCAGGTTCAATCTGCCGAAGAGACATGAATCATTGGCATTTAGTGTGTGCTAAAAAGTACAGTGATTCACAAGTCTCATTCTGTTCCCATTCTAAACACATTCGCAGACAATAAAGCAAGCACCATTTTGGACCATGATGCACCTCTTAACCACACAAAGCTACGGTGAAGACAATTAAGAAACAGAGGTCAGAAATCGCAGGGATAGCTTTTATGTCCGGTGATGTGACAGCCAATATTAATCAGCTTATGGTGCAAGCAGGCTGGTTGGAGATTCACACCAACAATAGACAGACAAAATACAAGATGAAAGGCAGAAACCAGTAAGCGGTAGAGCACCTGCCCTGTTTCTTCTGGACAAAAAAAAAGTGCCCTTCTGAAATGTGTTAGATTTTTTTTTTTTTTACGTGCATTGTGTGCGACCCAAGTCAGCATATATATATATATATATATATATATTGATTTTAAATGGGCATATATATATATATATATATATATATATATATATATATATATATATATATATATATATATTGATTTTAAATGGGCATACATGTTCAAGCTGTGCTTGTTGTAAAATAAAATCTCACACTACTAAGACCTGGCGGTTCCATGTGACCCACACGGTGACCTTTGTTTCCACTTGAGCACCTGACCTGCAAAATGCATGTGCACGCCACTGACTACTGATAGATGGATAGATAAACTGGAAGTGTATTAGCTGTGCCTGAAAGCTGTCATGTCGTGCTATGTGACTAAAAAGCAGCACAAAATATCTTTGAATGTCACAGAGTAGTTACAGGAAACTGAACAAGTTATTCCTGGTTCACTTGAAACTTTAGAAGAATGCAGGAAGCTAAAGAAAAATAGCCCAGTATCACACCATAAAAAGTTCAAGAGTTACAGTGAAGGAAGCTGCCATGAGGAAAGTGAGTGACCTGAAAAACTGTGCTATTCCTTTTTTAAGAAATATTTCACCTCGACCTCGGTTTTCAGTCAAAAAAATAATAATTATAATAATTAACTCGCTAAACTCTATTTTGTGTGATTGATGTTAACAAGTCAAACAATATGCTGCAGGTATAATTAAGGATAACTGCTGACAATATTGATTATAAGAAAATATGAGTCATGCATTAAGCTAGCTGAAGGTGGTGATAAAAAAACTTCAAAGCAGCTTTTGCTTTTTTTCATGCTTTTTCTTTGTGTGGGCTCAAAGTTTAATTTGGAGGTGCCACGTCCTGACTTGCAGGGTTTGCTGACACATTACATGGTTCCTGTCCAACATTAGTAAACTAAGGAGAGAAACTGGGACACACGGAGGACACAGAGGATAAAAGTTTGACTCCATCCAACTCCCTTTGATTAATTAACAATGTTCCCCCCCCCCCTTTTTGTCTATGTATGTAAAATGATTTTTATCTTTTCTGCTCACATAAATAAAGAAATGAAATGGAGGAGAGCTGCTGCAGCGTATGGTGAATACACCCTTTGTAATGTCTTGACACATCACAGCTGAAAAAGGAGAACTTCTCAAACTTTCCAGTCAAAACAGTTCCAGACTTGCACTCTTGCTCTCGGTGTTCACAGTAACAAAATGAAAAAAAAAAACAAAAAAAAAACCTCTATGCTACACTTTAGATTTCCTAAGAAAACCTGTGACAGACAACCGTTTGCCTTTTCCTCCTGCACTAATGCTTGACTAAAATCTAACTGACAAAAATGAGAGATTAACGTCCAAATATTTTTAAAGTATTGAATCTATTAAGGGGGTTGAACTCAGACTCACTTACGATTTTAAATGACGGCCATTAATCAAATATAATATTTCTAGTGGAACTAATGACAGTTGATTGATGTCAGTGTGTCAACACTTTGACATAAACTTCTTGCTTGATTGCACCGGTAGGAGATATTTCATGTCTGGTCTTGCACCCAAACCCAAAGTGAAGAGAGAGCAGAAGGTCTCACTCACCCCATGGAGCAAACTCTGTCTGCAGCCTGAGGACTCTTCTCAACCTTCTGATCCTCTGGACCTGTTTCTGACGCCCAGTTTTTGATCTTCTCCTTCACGTCTCCGATCCCATTCGTTATTTCTGGCTCCTTTCTCTTGGTCGTGGCCTCCGGCTTTGGCACATAGTCCATCAGTTGACTGATTCTATTCTGAATGCTGGTCCCGCCGGTAAAATCCTCTGCATCAGTATCACTCTCTTTGATCGGAGGCTCTGGTGTTGTGTGAACAGGCTGCGAGTCAGAAGACTCTGGTTTATTGGATTCGTCTTTGGTGATGGGTTTGGGAATGGGAATGAAAGGCTGACGGGGCAAAGGGACGCCACCTGACTCGAACTTTGAGGTGAGCGCCTTAGGCAGACGCTTCCTTACGCTTCCCCGCTGGTAAAATGAATCGTTTGTGGATGGACTGTTGCTGCTTGACTCTTCTGTATTTTGACTGACAGAAACTGGAGTGTCACTTTGCTTCTCCTCTCCATCTTCCTGCTCTGGGCTAGCAACAGCAGTGGTGGGTGGTTTGTGGTTTGTTTGGATGATGTCTTTCTGCGCCGGTTCTGACTTGGGCTCCTCTTTAGTTGGAGTTGTTTCGGTGGCTGGATCCAGAGCAGCTGTCTCAGAACCAAGACTGTTCTCAACCTGTGGAAGTGCTTCACTTGTTTTCGATGCTTCTGGCTGAGATTTAGGCAGCGCACTTGCAGGCTGTGGTTTGGGAGCTGAGGCTAAGATGGGTTGAGGCAGTTTTTTAGCAGGGACGGTGACAGCAGTAGGATTTTCTGTCTCTGATTGTTCAATCTGATTTGTTTCAGATTTAAGTGCAGGGGCTGTTTTGGGGGGAGTCTCAGAAGAACTGATGGGTTGAGACAGTTCTTCAGTAGGGATTGTCACTTTGGTGGTTGTGGGAGTAATTGTCTCTGATTTTTCGATCTTATTTGTTTCAGACGTAGATGTAGGAGCTGTTTTCGGAGCAGCCTCTGGAGACCTGATAGGCTGAGACAGTTCCCCAGTAGGGATGGTCACGGCAGTGGTCGGGGAACTTTTTGTCTCTGATTTTTCGATCTTATTTGTTTCAGACGTAGATGTAGGAGCTGTTTTCGGAGCAGCCTCTGGAGACCTGATAGGCTGAGACAGTTCCTCAGTAGGGATGGTCATGGCAGTGGTCGGGGAACTTTTTGTCTCTGATTTCTCAGTCTGACTTGCTTCTGGCTCAGCTGTAGGATCAGTTTTGAGAGGAGTCTCTGCAGAACTGATGGGCTGAGGCAGTTTTTTAGCAGGAGTAGTTACAGTGGTGGTCGGGGAACTTTTTGTCTCTGATTTTTTGGTCTGACTTGTTTCTGACTTAGGTATAGGAGCAATTTTGGAAACAGTCTTTGGAGCTTTGAAGGAGCGAATTGTGCTGTTTTTTTGCAGAGAGAACGGCTTCGGAGCGAGAGTGGGTTTGGGAGGCAGAGATGGCTTTGAAGGCAGGCCTCCACTCTGGGAGGCCTCAATAGTGGTATCCATAATTGACGTACCTGACACAAAAAGAGAAAGAAGAAGAGTTAACTTTCAGCAATCCACAGTGGCTTCTAAGAATATTCACACCTCTTCAACTTTTCTGTATTTTGTCACCTGACAACTATAATCTTTTATGTATTTTGCTGGGGTTCTATGTGAATACCAATGTAAATTAGTGTGTAAATGTGAAGTGAAAGGGATAGCATACACAGTTTTCAAAATGTTTTACAAATAAAAATCTGACAAGTGTGGTATCAATATTCAGGACTACCTTGTATTTAGCTCCATCCATCTTCCTAAGAAGTTTGACCAGCTACCTTCTCTCTAACCCTAACACTCCCCACATCATGATGGGGACACCACCATGTTTAACCAGTGGAATGGTGTTTAAAGGATGACGTGCAGCGTTAAGTCTGTTGCTAGACAAACACGCAAAATGGCTTGCAGCCCCCTCTAGATTCTATTTGCTTCTCTGATTATTGCTGTCCTTCCCCAGTCTGTCAGCTTAGGTGGACAACTATGCCTTGAAATGTTGGCAGTGATTCCATACTCTTTCTGTTTTTGAGTGATGGATTGAGCAGTGCTCTGTGGGATGTTCAAAGCTTGGCATATAGCTTGACATATGTATTAGCTCTGCTTTCAAATTCTCCTCTACTTCAACCCTTATTTGCTATGTTTCCTGGTAGTCTGTTTATTCACTCAAACAGATATGCATCCAGTATGGATCTGTATGTCTAGCCATTATCTTCCCTTAACCTTTGCAGGGTTAGGCACGGTACAGTCTAGACTGGTCACCAGTCTGTTACAAAATGTACATCCACAAGAATGCATACACTCAGATGTAAGGGCAGTTTGGAGAGACCGATTAATCAAACATGCATGTTTTTGGACTATGGAAGAAAGTTGGAGTACCCAGTGAGAGCCCATACATGCAAACTCCATGCAGAAAGTCCACTGGCCAGGATTTGAACCTGGCATGTTCTTGCTGAAAGGCAACATGATACCAACTTTGTCACCATGAAGACCATGCCCTGCATACCGATACACACCTGAAACGCAAATGCACAACACACTTTTTGCTCTACTTTGTGTTGATCAAATCAAATAACATCCCAATAAAACAGATTGGAGCTTGTGGTTATTATAAAATTCAAACAGCATGAGGATTACAATGAAAATCTTTATTATACTCAGTTAAAACAAAACCAGCAGGTTATGTTGCAACTAAGAGGACAGGACGAGCCTGGTCTGTCTGGATTTTTTTAAAAGCACATTTCTACCGAAGGGATAAAGTGAAATACATCAATCACTCTGAGCATAACTCAGCTGTCAGGGCCTACGTCCCACGCTAGTCTCATTTTCAATTTGGATGCTATTTAGGTTTCGATAAGCTGTTCAGTTTTTCTCAAAACAAAAACAAAAAAAACAAAAAAAACTTCCATCAAAAACACATGATAGATAAATTGTGATCCATCACTGATTGCTGCAAGCAGCTTTTAAAGACCTGGTAATTCAGTCAGACTCAGAATTATGTCTTCAGTTTTCAATCATAATGTGTAATTCACTCTGCGTTGTGTTTCTGTGCTAATCACATAATCACACTCTATATCTAGTAAATAAACAGGTACTATCAGATGTTTATTTACTCTAAACAGGAAGATAAGTAGCAATCTTTTTATCAACTGATAACATTGTGTTCTGCATTACGACAGAAAAAAGTCTTGTTTTGGTGGAGACCCGGTTTATATTCAGACATATTAAGTTAGCTATTTGTGGAAAAAGAAAGATGTTCTTCAGTTTTCCCATTTTTACATATCATGCTTTGGGGAAAGAATAGTAACAATGGAGGGAACCAGACCTAATACTTTAATTTTTTTCTTGTCAAAAGACTCTTCAGCTCACTTAGCTGACCAAAAATACAGAACTAAAATTGTCATATCATTTATCGTTACCATATATATTTTTTATTGTGATGATAATTCGAATTTATCTTGATGACACAAATCACTAATTGATGATGCTTGTATGTGCTGAAAAAATATTGTTGGAGTTACTTATTTTCCTCTGTTGGTTCTCTGAGTGGATCAAAAATAATTTTATATATTTGAAATTACGATTAATGGCAGTTGCTGATAAAATGTATCAATGTGACGTAACTGTTACCATGATGTAGCCTGTTTGATAAAAGGTACTCTTATAGAGCAATGTTTTGTTACTATACTATTTATCCTTAGCAAATACTACAAAATATCGGGATTAAAAAGAGCCAATATCAATTATCTAATTAACATTTTAATAAAATTAAATCCTTACTTCATCCAACATTATGCATCATTCTAATAACATGATGCTAGTCTCTCGTTATTTTGTTTTCTTGTCTTTCCAAGCTGCTGTCGTAGCATTTTGTTCATAAAGCCACCTGCAGCTGTGTAGGACTCTTTCCTTCAACCAGAATAATTCCCCATTGGGTTTTTGGTATTTATTATAATCAAATGCTTTTATTCAGTATGCAAACGTTAACTTTGCTGACAGTGTTTAAGTTCAGAAAAACATTTTATTCACATCTCTGCGATCCCCTGTTGTCAAAGAGGAAGACCTTTGGAAGGGCTCCCACATTGTCCAAAAATCCAGTCCTCAGTGATTGGTTGGTTTGTTTTCTGAGTTTGACCTCTGAATGTCACAGAATGAGGGGAAGAAAGAAAGAACAAGACTTTGTTTCCAAGCAATGGACCTGTTAAAAACAATGATCGCCATGTCAAGAGTGAAGCTGTGCAGCAGCTATTAAATAACAAATTTCACCGCATGCACTGCAGGTACAGTGTCTGAACACACAGTGCTTAGATAATTATTGGAATCCAAGCAGAAGACGATGCCCATAGGGACACATAGTGAAATATGTTGGAGGCACCACCATGCTCAGGAATTGCTTTTCTTCAGATGTAGCTGAAGAAAAGTTACATCTGAAGAAGTCATGAATAGATGAAGTCCAGCCAGTTTTCACCCAAAACATTCAGGTGTCTGCTGATTGAGAATAAAAGATGCGAAATGGCCTTAACTCAGACAAAGTAAAAAAACAAACAAAAAAACCCAAAACAAAATAAAATAAAATAAAGCCTGAAGAAGGCTCTAGAGAAAAGATGTCATACGTTTCAAGAACTTTTACAAGGTCAGCTGCAATTAACTCTTTTATGGTGGTATTATTCTCTACCACATTATCACATAGTGGTGGAGAAATTCCCTGATTGTCTCAGTATTAACAAGGTATTGCACTTGAAATACTGAAGCTAATAAAATACTGCATCCAAGGAATCCACTGTGGCATATGCTGACATCGTGATTCAGATTCAATATACTGTACGTCTCCAGCAGCGGGTAAACATCAGCTTATTAGTATTCTGTGTTATATTTGTTACTATAAGGTTATATATCTTTAGAACAACTGGATCTTATTGATAAGAAAAGGCAGGTCTCGTTTTTGGTAACTGCTGAGATTGGTTGACTTTTCCTCATAAGACTCAGAGACTCAAAGTCGTTGCACAAGAGTGACTGTCAGAGGCTGGAGCAAGCAGTCCGTATGAGTCATATGGACTCATACGGACTTACTGTGCAAAACACAGAACATCTACTTCTCCCACAGAACCGGGAGTACTGGCATGGTACACAAACCGCCCTGTGACTGACACTGGAGTGCTCCGGAAACGATCGGATTTGAAGAATGCCATGCGAAAGCGATAACTGTACCGTTTCCAAAATCTGTTACACTAAATACCACAGCGCATTGTACCTGGCATCTGGTCAGGCCTGTAGGACCTTTTGCACAAACCGGTAAATCCACGTTAGCTTCACGTTGCCACTTTGTTACATCTGCAAAAAAATTGTTCTGGATTATGCAGGCTGTTTTGATCCCAAACAATAGTGTGCATGTGCAGTGAGGGAGTTCCTCCTTGTCGTATTATGCTTTAAGTTGCTACAACTATGGGTGTGCATAATATTGTGTAATGGGATCAGCCTGGGATAAAGCTGTGCACACCACACACTGGGGATAAATAAGAATAATGTGCCCTGTTTGTTTCTCCCACCTCATTAGTTTTCCTTACACTTGAATTACTAGGCAACAAACACCGTCCGACAGATAAAGCTGCTGTAGAGTTGATTGAATGGATTTCTCAGTGGAAAGCCCTCTGCAGCTGCCTCTCTTGCTGGCAGGCCTTTACATTGCTTTATCTTTGTTTGTCTTCAGTGGCTGTCACCCTGCCAAGGCTGTGTTGCCCAGGCTGTTTTAGTTTTTCATGTTTACGTTTCTGAGTGGGAGCCCAAAGTGCACTTTTGTTCAGGACTCAGTCTCACTCATACGTTTAGGTTACGGTTTGCATTAAGTTACTAAATAGACATGGTTGCTGTCTTATTACAGGTTGTTTATACGTTACTAATTAAAACTAATGAACTGACAGTCGTTGAACCAGCGGTGTCCTCCAAAACGTGAGAAAAATCAACTTTAACTTTCATTCAATCGAGTCAGCTGAGAGGAACACAGTTAATACAGCCTCAACACAACCAAAGGTTGTGTTCACCTGTCAGTGAGGCATTGCTCATTCAACAAGACATCACTACATGAATCAGAATAATAAAGTTTGCTTTACCTCGTGTCTTCACGCGGTCATACAACTCAACGCAGGATGAAGTTAAGGGACGAAATTGTTCCTCTGTTTTCCGTAAGCGCTGTTGTCTGACTGTGTTTTTTTGTTTGTCTTCTTTCAAGTCACTCACAGTATGAAGACGTCAGCCTGCAGCTACACCTCCACCCAGCAGCGGACACTCCCTCCGCCCCGCCGTCAGTCTCAGCTCGAGCGTCTCTGAAGTCAAGTTGCGCAGGGAAACAGATGTGAACCCGGAAGTGGGGTGTACTATCTTCAAAATAAAAGTGCGGTCACCTTGTTACTGTCACCCCTTGCTCTTTAGCCCTACGTTTGTAATTGGAGCCGTCCCAGTTGTTTGTGTGGACTAAAAGGGGGGAAGCTAAAAGGAATGTAGCCCTTAAAAGTGCGAACTGTTACTGAACACACGCAAGAAAGAGCTATAAAAGTTTGTAAATCTCCCGATAATATTTTCTCTGTTACATTTTTAATCACACAATGGCCACTATGACTAATGAAATGTTCTGACTGAGGTATTATGCTTGATAACATTGATATTCATTATTTAAAAAATAGAAAAGAGCAAACATTTCTGAATTTTTTTATTTCTGAAATTTTTTATTTTGTGCCATACCAACAATGTGTAGTTTATCACGTCTTCTCAACAAGAAAACAAAAATAAAATAAAGCCAAATAAAAAAGTGGCAAGTTTAGTTTAATGCATTTGAATGTGTCATTCAAGTGAAACATAATGTACTATATTTAATATGAAGATTTAAAGTTTGGAGCTTGCCTCCTGCAATGAGTACTTGTAAAGTTTTGGTGGAAAAGGATTGTTGTTCCATGTTGCTTTTCAGGGGCGGGGCCTTGGCTGAATTCAGAGAAATAAACTTTTGCTCCAGCATGCATACACATATCTTGCCCCAGAGTGTCTGACCTCACAAAGTAAAATGAAAAGTCACATATTTCTATAAACACGTTTGTAAAACTTGACAACTTTTCCAGTGGTGCTATAACGGTGATATACGTAACTCCTGCCATAACCAGAATACAATGAATGGTCAGTCTTTCTTAACATTTCTGCTCTTAAGTCTGAATGAAAAGAAGAACTGTAGCCCTTATTTTGAAAAGTTTAAGCAGAAGTTGTGTCTGTGAATTTTCAGCGTCCCTGTAGTTTAGTTTTCAATGGACTGGATGAACGGGTTCTAATTGAAGAGAAAAGCCACTTTACTCACCAGTGAAAAGGAATTGGATCTGTGTTGCGCTTTTGTGGATGTTGCTGAGGAGGCGTCGGAACAGGAACTGCCCTGTTCCAGGCCTCACACACAGTAAACACGAATTTGCATGACACCTGAGCCTTTACAATGTTAATTTGCGTTGCTTTTATGGGCCTGGGAGAAGGAAACAGGGGAGCAAGCTCAGGAAATCTTAAAACCAAAGGGACCTCTCGGGTAATTCAAAGGGTGAGGAAGCATTTGGTTGACCTAAGGTGTGGATGCGTTATATAACTAAAACAACATGGTTGATCCATTAGCAATCACTGAAGCACAAATAAGTAAATAAAAATCAAAATACGCTAGATCAGATATATTAAATCTATTGTTAGAAACAACTAAAACAAAAATTATCTATCTATCTATCTATCTATCTATCTATCTATCTATCTATCTATCTATCTATCTATCTATCTATCTATCTATCTATCTATCTATCTATCTAGGGTTAGACTTTTTTTTTTCTTTATCACACAAACTTACAAATACTATGGATATTGTAATGTATTTGCTTTATTACATATCAGGCCTAATTATTTACTTAAAACATTGCCTGGGCATGTGACTACCTTTGAGATAACAATTTTGCCCTACATGATAAAAACTTGGAGCACCACTGAAACAAAGGATCAGATGTATTTACTAGGTAGTTATTGTCTATCTACGTCGATTTGAAAGTTCAAAATAATTAGAAACAAGTACTGAACTAGAACTAATGGATTCTATTTAAACTGATTGGTTTATCCTTCATTTCCTGCATTCTCTCGCCCCCTCGTGGACATTACCAGACAGCGCTTCTACATCCTCGGTGCTCGTAGAGCCAGTTGTCATGGCAACCGTACAGCATGTGCTTACAAAAACAAGAGCTTGACCGTTCACCGACAGCTATCTCGACATTCGACATCTGCGACGCCATCTTCCTCGTCCTCCGCTTCTTATTCCAGCGTTTTGTCAGAGGAAGGGAGTGAAGAGCAGACGCTGGCCGGGTTGAAAGACGCAGGTGAAGCCGAGACAGACTCAGTCAGCAGCGATGAGCGGAGCCAAAGCCCGCAGCGACGCGCCTGTTGCTGAAAATGTCTCCAGCGGCGGGCACGGTTCTGCTGCCCCTACGCGGGACCGCAAGCCCGGCGGAGGCGTCTTGAAGAGGCTCAAGTCCCGGCGAAGCCAGGTGGAGAGCAGGCCCGTGACGGAGGAAGAGCTCCGGACGAAGAGTGGGCACATCTCTCCGGAGGATGTTCTGGGACTGCGAGTCGCTACGAGAGGTTTGGGGTCGCTTTTATTACGGGCGAGACATGCTGAATTACAGAACAACAGGGCGTAAATACTGATAATTTAGAAACGGAAACAAGGAAACGAGCTATGATTCACTGCATCTCATTGCAATGGCATTATTAGAAACACAAACAAGTGTTTTGCGTCATAGGTAATCTTTACTGTTTCTATATTTAAACAGTTAAAGAAGACGACACTGGGCGTGTGTGTTAATAGGAGCAATTATGACAGTGTAATAACTTTATTTGTGCTGTAGTGTGGGTTGTGGTGAAATCATGTATATTGTCATGTTCAAAGATGAAAACAGTCAGTATCGGAGCAGCGTGGCCTTCTCTGCTATACACTATCTTGGTTAAGTCATGGCCTACATTTACAGCTTTTGAAGCTGTGGAGACAACATTGAAATGTTAATAACTGCAAGCTGTGTTTTTTTGTTTTTAGTGACTGTTCTGTGATAAACAACCATAAAGAAGAATCATCTTGTACTATTTCTGTTCCAGGAGTCAGGGGCCTTTAAAGCGCTACACTTCTCTTTATTGTAATATTTTTTTTAAAAAAATACTCTTATATGTCTTTTTACTTAAGCTTAAGAATAAATAAAACAATAGAACTAAAATAACAAATATAACATTTAATTTAGTTGGAAAAAATGGGTTATTAAAGCCATTTAGATATGTGTGTACAATGAAGGCGGAAAAAACTGAATAAATAGAAAAATAAAGACTTAACGAAAAATATATTTCTTATCCCTTCAGTGAAATAATGTCTTTGAAATTCTATGTTGTATGCTATACCGAAGGAATACTTCAAGCTACCATAATATCTAAGAACATCGCTCATTTCAATTTTGTCTTAAGCTAATGTCTGCAGCTCTGGAGCCCTTGTCCTGTACCTTTTGTTCAGTGTAACGCCATAATAATGGAGACAGTAGCCTCAGAGGTTTTCTTATCTTTCTTTTATGGCTTTATTACTGTAGATTCATATGTCAGCGTGGCTGTGTTTAAACATAATTTTATTTGATTTTCAGTGCAGTACAGACTGTGTACATTAAGGTTTCTGTACCTTTAAACAATCCGAGAAAGCCTGGATAATGATTGATGGTTTTGGTAGGTTCATTTAGAACCTTTGGAGCTAATCGGAGGCCCACCTTCGAATGCATTGCAAAGTCAGTGTTTTGAAGTGGTCATAACAAAGACCTAAGTTCAACAACAAGGCAAAGCAAAAAAGGTGTTTCAAGAGGATTGAACCAACATTCATGTAAACTATTGTCAGAGACTTTTTTCAGTACCTGAGACATTTGAGCCAAATCAGAAAACGTAAAAGGCCGATCAAATACTAAGGAAATGGATTATCAAAACAAATTCCTTTCTCGTTAATTTGGCATTTAGAGACAGAAATATTTTTTTGGTAATCCCAACTGAGACAGAGATGTTTTGTCTGATTTAGTCCTATCAATACTGGTGCTATATTTGCTTGTTTTTATCCAAACATTGTAACTCCCGTCCTCTGCGTGTTGTGGTTGCAGGATACCTCTGTAAACCCGAGGACAACATCTACAACATTGACTTTGTACGTTTTAAAATCAGAGACCTGGAAACCAACACCGTTCTGTTTGAGATTGCCAAACCTCCGCATTCAGGTACTACATTTCACTGTTCTTTGCGCTGTTCTATTTCTGTTCGGTTTCACTTAAAAATAGACGCCTTGGCTCCTCCGACAGCAATAAATAGGTCACAGCCTGTTTGGAAATTTAACCCCAAACCTGTTTATTATGCTGCAAACTGTGTTGCTCTTTGCTGTCAGACGACGATGAGGAGCACGGCGAAGGAGATGGCACGGCGGGTCGATTTGTTCGCTACCAGTTTACGCCGGCTTTCCTGCGACTGAGGACTGTGGGAGCTACGTGAGTGACTCACACATGCAGCTTGAAAGCAGTCAAGCAATTGTGTTCCTTATTTTTTATTCAGCGTGCACCGATGATAGTGACATTTTTACAGCTGTAACATCGCAGCTTTTCTTTTCTCCATTCGATCACAGGGTGGAATTCACAGTCGGGAACCGGCCCCTGAACAACTTCCGCATGATCGAGAGGCACTACTTTTGCGATCACCTGCTCAAGAGCTTCGACTTCGACTTCGGCTTCTGCATCCCGAGCAGCCGTAACACCTGTGAACACATCTACGAGTTCCCCCAGCTTTCTGAGACCCTCGGTGAGTCCCGTGGACAAAAAAAAAAAGAAAAAAAAAAAGAAAGAAAAAAAGAGGCTAAACAAACACAGGTCATTTACCATTTTTTACCTTTGATAGAAGATAAGTACTGGAGAGCTGAGCCGAGTTCAACAGGCTTGGACTTGCACAGGTACAATGAAATGATGAAGTATGTTTGTAGTTTATGCTTTAGAGATGATCGTTCAAGCTTAGATTTTTTGTTTTTTCTTTAACTCGCAGAGATCAGATATTATTTTATCCAACAAGTACAGAACTGATTTCCTGAGTTTTTTACAGCTGTGATAATGATAAAAGTGATAAGAACAATTTATGACTTCTTCTTAGGTAGTTGTACAGCCGTGACTGCATGGTTCAAAGACGAACAAACACAAACACTGCTCTTGAAAAACATTCCCATTTGTAAAGAAGTATGATTTATATTTCTAAACTGAACACAGCAGCTGCATTTAATCATATCTTCAAACTTACAGATATTTATTGGCGCTCTTATC